GAGGAGCCAGCCCCGGCCAGGCAGGGGAGCGGAGCGCGGGGCTTTTATTACCCCGAGTGACCTCATTTCCCAATATTCCCCTTTTCTCGCTGCTAATTGCAGCAGGGCCCATCTTCTCAGCCAAATGGGCACCGCTTCAGCCCTCAGGCTGCCTTTCCGATTTCCTTTAATGAGATGAAATCCTTCAGACCCGAGCTGTGGCAGCTGGTCCCTGCCCGGGGGGTTCCTGCTCCGAGAGGTTCCCTCTCCTGCTGGGAAGGTGCCTTCAGCCTCTCTGAGCTGGGAGAGCTCAGTGCACATTGCACACTGCCATCGGGAGCCAGCCTGCTCCTCCTGCCTGCCCCGCATCCCACAGCGTGTGCTGCATGGATCCTGGGGCTGCAGCTGGAGCAGCGCTGCTCTGCCACCCTGGGGGCTCCCATGGCAGAACGGACCGAGGGACACCCTGGGGAATGTCCCCTGGGGGCTCCCATGGCAGAACCGACTGAGGGACACCCTGGGGAATGTCCCCTGGGGGCTCCCATGGCAGAACGGACTGAGGGACACCCTGGGGAAGGAGGGAGCTCAGATCCCCCTGCCCGGTGTGGGGCTGTGCAGCCTGACCCACTCTTGCCAAGAAGTGGCATTTCTGGCCCACTTGGTAACAACCTCCTGTGTCTTTTCCAGGGAAAATATGAAGAAAGATTCCTGAAGGATGAGACCATCTCCCAGCAGATCAACTCTGTGGAATCCCTCCCGGAGCTGCAGCTCTCCCTGGAGGACAAGAAGCCCGAGCAGCTCCTGCAGAGGAAGCTGCGGGTGAGGAGCCGGCCTCCTTCCAAGCCCACCATTGTCCGAGGGGTCACCTACTACAAAGCCCAGTCCACCGAGTCAGAGAATGACATCGAGGAGCAACGTGAGTTGGGTATGAAGCTGTGCTTGGTGGGATGGGGGCTGCATCCCGCAGCAGAGCCAGTGCCTCATCCCCTGGGGATGTGTGGGAGCAGCAGGGGGAGGTGGGACAGCCGGCACCTCATGGCCGTGCAGCCTGTGAGCTGCGGATGTGGGGCACTGTAGCATTGTTATTCCATGGAAAATCCCTGGTAGCTGAGGAAATATGTCACTGCTTCGGTTCAAAACACCCAGCATCAACACCTCTGCAGAAGCAAATGGAGGTTTATTAAACGTGCTCGTGTTTCAGTTCTGCCTGCCCAGTGGCCTCCCGGGAGGTTTGTGCAGAGTGCAGGGTGGAGGCAGCTCGGAGCACGGCCAGGGGTCTGTGCTGGGAGCAGGGGCTGAGCCCTGCGGGGCTTTGGGGACTCCTGACCAGGAGGAGAACCCCACTGCTGGGGAACCCCAGTGATCCCCGTGCTGAGGCACCTGCTTTGGCACGCTGGGTTAGGTGAGTGGCATCTGCATGGGGATGCAGCTGGGTCTCCATCCCCATGGGTGAGAGATGTCTCCGTCCTGCCCGGTCTCCGGGAGGTCTCGGCAGGGCAGAGCTGATCCCCATCACCTCCTGCCCTGCCTGGCCTGAGGTGCTGGGGCCTCACTCACCTCCTGCCACGGGCACTGCGGCTCTCGGAGGGGACGTGGGGAGGGAACACGGGTGGTTCAGTAGAGCCTGCAGAGGTGGTGTCACCCCGGGACAGGTGGGTGGGAGCCGGCCGGGGCTGCGGGGCTGACACCTGTGCCTGTGCTCGGCAGCGGACGAGCTGTTCAGCGGGGACAACACGGTGGACCTGCTGATAGAGGACCAGCTCCTGAGGCCCAGCAGCAGGGCAGGCGAGGCCGTGAGAAAGCCCTCTCCTGTGGGCTGGCCACCCACCCCTGGCAGTGCTCCCACCACCCTGCTGGCCACCAGCACCGCCGCCACGGCCACCCTGTCCCCGTCCCTGTCCCCTGCCACGCCGGACCCCACCGCCCCAGGGCCCGTCACCGCCCCGGCAGGGCTGCCCGAGGAGGGCACCCCACAGCTGCCAGCAGCCTTGGCCAGCACGCTGGTGGCCACGGCCACAGAGACTTTGCCCGTGGCCACCCCTGCTGGAGGCTGGAGTGAGGTGGAGAGCAGCCCAGGAACTTGGCTCCAGGCGAACACCCCCCCAACGCCGGTCAGCCCGGCCATCCCTGCCACCCCAAAGGAGGGCCTGGAGGAGGAGGACATCAGGAGCATCATTGGTGAGTGAGTGCCTGCAGGTCCTGCACCCATCCTGCCGTGTGAGGGGGGCTGGCTCGTGCCCACAGTGTGTCCTGCTGAGCGCAGCACTCCTGGATTTGGTCACAGTGGGAGGCGTCACGGACATGGCAGCTGGACATGTCCGCTTCACTGAGGTCTACTTATTAACTCCAGAACCTGCTGTAGTTTTCCTCTCACCTTTAGGGGCTGGACTGGGCACAGCAAAAAGAGAAAGGACCTGAGACAGGCAGCAGCCTCAGCTGGAGCAGGGACATGGCTGAGGCTGTGGGGAGATGTTTGTGGGTTCTGGCCGGTCCTCACAAAGCTGCAGCAGGGCCATGGTGGCAGGGGGTGGCAGGGGGTGCTTGCTGGGTGAGTGAGGGGCTGCAGGGGGGTGGTGCCTCCAGGGACAGTGTGGCAGCCCTGCCTCTGCCTCACAAGCTTTCCCTTCCCTGCAGGGCGCTGCAAGGACACCCTGTCCACCATCTCGGGGCCCACCACCCAGAACACCTACGGGCGCAACGAGGGAGCCTGGATGAAGGACCCCCTGGCCCAGGAGGAGCGGATCTACGTCACCAATTACTACTACGGGAACACGCTGGTGGAGTTCAGGAACCTTGACAATTTCAAGCAAGGTGGGTTTGCACCAGCTCTGGTACCACTGATCCAAGGAGCATCCTCACCCCTGGGGATGCTGCATCGTGGGGGGACGATCTGCCTGGGGACCTTCCACCCTTGGCTGCTGGCACCCGGCGTGTGGTACAGGACGTGGGACAGCTCAGGCTGTGCCTGGTGGCCGGGGAGGGGGTGCAGGCAGAGCTGGGGGCAGAGCGTGCCCCCACCCCGGTGCGAAGGGAGGTCTCACCAGGCGGGTGTGTCTGCCCCGCAGGTCGCTGGAGCAACTCCTACAAGCTCCCGTACAGCTGGATTGGCACGGGCCACGTCGTCTACAACGGCTCCTTCTACTACAACCGGGCCTTCACGCGCAACATCATCAAGTACGACCTGAAGCAGCGCTACGTGGCCGCCTGGGCCATGCTGCACGACGTGGCCTACGAGGAGTCCACCCCGTGGCGGTGGCGGGGCCACTCCGACGTGGACTTTGCGGTGGACGAGAACGGCCTGTGGGTCATCTACCCGGCCATCAGCTACGAGGGCTCCAACCAGGAGGTGATCGTGCTGAGCAAGCTGAACGCGGCCGACCTCAGCACGCAGAAGGAGACCACGTGGCGGACGGGGCTGCGCAAGAACTTCTACGGGAACTGCTTCGTCATCTGTGGGGTCCTGTACGCGGTCGACAGCTACAACAAGAGGAACGCCAACATCTCCTACGCCTTTGACACGCACACCAACACGCAGATCATCCCCAGGCTGCTCTTTGAGAACGAGTACGCCTACACCACACAGATAGACTATAACCCCAAGGACCGCCTGCTCTACGCCTGGGACAATGGCCACCAAGTCACCTACCACGTCATCTTTGCCTACTGAGACCCCCCACCACAGTGGGGCACTGCAAGCCAGGGGCCACCAGCACCTTTTATTATTATTTTTATTGTTATTATTGTTATTTTGTACAAATTGAAGAGTAAATGATGGGTTTTGTTCCAAGCTGGTTTTTTATGGCGGATTGTAGATCGATCCCCAGGCCAGAACCACCCCCTTCGTCTTCGCTGTATCCTTGCTTCCGACTTTCCTTCCCAGGGGAAGGAGGTTCTCCTTTGGAAGGGCAGGCCCGGCTCTCCTGCCCAGGGAAGAGGAGGTGGCCCAGACGAGGCGCTCCCGATGATGTTTTTATCTGATCAGCGAGACACCCCGAAGCAGGGCACAGCTGCACCCACCAGGCCCCAGCGGGACGCTGCTGCTGCCCGTCCTGCTGGAGCACCCGCACGTCCCGTGGGAATGCCCCGTCTCTCAGGACCACCTTCCCAGCCCCTTGGAGATCCTGCTGTACATCGGGGCTGCGAGCACAGCTCCAGCAGCCCCTGGTGCTGGTACTTCTGCCGAGGACTGTCCCCTCCGATGGGGCTCTGCTCCCTGCAGGCCGCTCTGGGGGGCCGGGCGCACCCCGAGCCCCGACTCACGCCTGGAGGGAGCCGGCGGCGGGAGGGGGATGCTGTAAATACGTGTGGATGGCTTTTGTTTGTTCATTTTGTAACCCAGAGTAGTCCCCCTTGGCATGTGCTGGGTGCAGGCTCTGCTCAGCTGGGCTGCCTGGGCAGGGGCTGGCAGAGCCCTGGCTGTGCCTCTCCATCTCCTCCCTTCCCTCTCCTGCCCACGCCCGCCCTGCTCCTGCACCATCGCGATCCCCTCGCAGAGGCACAGCCCTTGCCCTCCTGCCCACCAGCATCTTGTATTTACCTGCTGTCAGTAATAAAGGATCCAGTACCTTTGCAGCTGTTTGGGGCGTTCTTTGGCTCTGCTTCACCCTCTGGGTGCATGAAAATGCACAGGGGTGTTTTGGGTGGCTTTCGGGTGGTTTGGGGAGAGCTGGTTTACACACCAGACAGAGACAAACCCCAGAGGCCTTAAGGCTGCTTGGGACTGGCACTGGGGCAGGGTGGCATGGCCACATCCAGCCCTCATGGGCTGCTCTGGCGGGCCCTGGGTGAGCAGCTCGTGTAGGGTGCCCCGTCTCCAGCAGCAGGAGGGGCACAGGGTGGCTGTGCCATGGGCAGTGCCAGCACTGTGCCAAGCAGAGCCACCCTGCAGCCCAAGAGATGGCAGACCAGGGCGTGTTCCTGTAATTTGCCGAAGGAAAACAGCATTAACAAGCACAACAGCAGTTATTAGTAATAAATAAAAGAAGGATTTTATTGCCTTCAGTACTAGGGACACAGAGAACAGAATTACACAGGATGAGAGATGCTCTCCAGCACCGGAGCCCAGGGGTGCTGGCTGAGGATGTGGTGCTGCAGCAGCCCCGAGCCCCCAGCCCCCAGCAGCCCTTCCTGCCGTGCCAAGCCCAGCCAGCAGCCCGGTGCCCTCCCCAGCTCCCCGGAGCAGCCAGCAGCCCCTGCCTGGGGCACCGCTGGGGTTTTCATTTCTGCCTGTTGTGTGAGCTGGCCCACGCTCAGGTGGGGCCAGGCCAGGAAAGGGAACGGGTGTGAGCAGAGAGCCGAGCCCGGCTCCTTCCAGCAGCGCCAGCGCCGCCAGGACGGGGCCTGCGCTGCCTGCGGGACCTGGCAAAGGGCACAGCTCTTCCACACACTGCACAGGGGGAACTGCTCCTCCTCCTCCTCCTCCTCCTCCCTGCCCCTGCAGCTGTTTGTCTTGTGCAGGGTCAACCTTGATTTCCTAACAGCCACACACATACACGAATAATAATAATAATAATAATAATAATAATAATAATAATTGAAAACCCCACGTGAGGCGGTTAGCGCTCAGAGCATGAAGGAATGGCAGCTGGCTGGCAAACTGAAACTCATCATCTTCTGTGCAAACTGCACAGGGGAGAAAAAATAATGTAACAACATGCTGAAGTGATTACACAAGGCTGATGCTCTGCTGGCAGCCCATCCCAGCCGAGCACCAGTGTGCTGGAGCTGCTAGGCCCAGCTCCGGCCTGGGCTCGGCTGACAAACGGGGACAGATCAGTGCACAGAGCTCCACAGACGCTCTGGAGAGGCAGCACTTGGCTGCAGCCAGAGTCTGGGGTGAACAGAACGTTCCCTCAGTGCCCAGGGGTGTCAGTGCTGGCAGGGCAGAGGGGTGTGAGGTGTCAGGAGAAGGTGCTGGGGCTGTGTCCCACGGAACTGAAGCAGCCCCTCTGCCCCAGCAGGGCCAGTGCTGCTCCACGGGCTCTTGTTAGCAGTGGAAAGTATTAAACAGCACACACAAAAAAACCCACGCAAACAAAAACCAGGAAGAAAAAAACCCAACAAACTCAAAAAAAACCAAACTTTACAAATGCATCTGCTGCATGAAATCACTTCCTTTGGGCCAAGCCCTCAGCTGTGGAGCCCCACGGGCCGGGGAAGGCAGCAGCAGGATCCTGGAGAGGCAGGCAGGTGCTGGCAGTGCCTCGGAGGGGCTGTTCTCAGCAGAACTAGTGCTTTAGTGGTGAGAGCGGGGTCCCAGCACCCTCCTGGGTGCCTGGGCTGGGCTGCCAGGGCCTCCTGCACTGGCAGGATTTGGGCAGGGAATGATGAGGAGAGGGGCTGTGTGGTCAGGCCCAGCAGCTGGGGGCTGGACAGGGCATCCTCGGGCTGCCCAGGAACTGCGGGGAGAGCGGCACGATCCCAAGGGTGGGCATCTGCTGCCTTGGTTCTGGCTCACCAGCCCAGCTCCAGCAGCCTCACGGGGACAAAACCAGGAGAGAACCCCCAGCTGTGGCCAGTGGACACGCAGCAGGGATAGCCCATGGCCAGCAGGGCCCCAGACCCCCCAGCTGTGGCCAGTGGACACGCAGCAGGGATAGCCCATGGCCAGCAGGGCCCAGGACTGACCCCGGGCAGCGGAGCCGTGCAGCCCCGGGCAGGGTCAGGCACAGGAACGGCTGAAGGGAACCGGCCCTGCTGTGCCAGGAGCCCCAGGAGCTGCCAGGGAAGGGCTCGGGCTGGAGGCAGCACCTGCTGCCCCGTGGCTGCCACAGGAGCTACCGCAGGGATTTGACGATGGCCCTGAGGGCGTGTGGCGTCTCGGGGACCGAGGGGGACGAGCTGTAGAAGGTGCCGCTGTGATTCCTGCGCTGCTCGCGCAGGTACGGAGGGACAGAAGAACTTTTGATGTGGAGGATCCTGGTGTCCATCACTTCACAGTCAATCTGCATCATCACCTCGTAGTCCTGCCCGTTGATCACGTTCTCTGCACGGGTCAGGATAAAGAAAACGGGGTCAGAGCTGGCCCTGCCAGCCAGGGATCCCGCAGAGCTCTGGGGACCTTTCCTTGTCTGGAGCAGGAGCTGCAGTGGGGGATCTCCCCTTCTGGAGCTCCACCTCACACAGCAGAGCCCCAGACTGCTCGTGACACCCCAAAGAGCCCACACCACACTCTGCATCTGCACTCACACCCACAAATTAATGGCTTTTATTTCCCCTTCTTCATCTGCACATAATTACCGATGGAACTTGCACCGTGAAACATCCATTACAGAACTGCTGTTCTTACTAAAGCATGGGAGTGATTGAAGATAAGGTTTATTTAAGAAAGCTGAATGTTTCATTTTCTGTAATCCTCTTGACACCGAGGATCTTGAGGAATTTCTGCACCAGTTTATTAATTAAAAGAAGCTAAAATGTGATCTCTCAGAAGAATTAACTGTGCCTCACTCCCATCCTGAGCTGGCTGTTGTACTTGAGTGATGTGGTGACACTGGGCAAGGCCACTCCCCTGGCAGACCCCTGGACACAGAAGACCCTGGGCAGCACAGGGGACCCCAGTGTGCACATCTGCTGCCACAGGAGCTGCTGGGCTTCCAGGCTGTGCACATGGCCAGCATCTGCTGCCTGCATTTAAAGGTGGGAGACCGTTCCCTGCATAGACAGCGTGCCCAGGAATGCAAGAGCCGAGATCGGATTTCCAGGCACGACCAACCCTTTCAGAGTCAGAAGACTGCCACTGGCAGGGCTTCCCTTCTGTGCTGAGGAGGGTGGAACATCACCTAATGGAAAGCGTATGGACTGCAGGAATGCAATATACATTACTAATTTTTACTGTTTTCCTGGATTAACTCTGACTCTGGATGACAGCTGACAACCCTGGCCGGACCCTCCTGTACCCCACGCCACCTGTGGAAGCCATTAGATCAACTATGTCTGGTACAGTAATGAAAAGCAGGAGCAAGCCCTTGCTGAGGGGGCTGAGAGCCTGCAAGGGAAATCAAAGCTCCCACCTGCAAGCAATGAAATGGAAAAAGCTCTGTGTGTGCCACCAAGTGACTGAAGCCAGGAGCAGCTGTGCAGGTCTCTGTGCCACTGACCCAAGCCCCTGGGAAGCACAGGGGTGACACACCTCATCCCTCCTGGGACCCTCTCAGAGGCCATCCCTCCAGGTCACCCTTTCTCCCTGCCTTTGGAGGTGCTCTTTGCTCCCACCCCAGGGGCTCAGGAGCAGTCAGCAGAGGGGGCTGGAAAGGGGGGCAGAGGGGCACCGGGGGAAGCTGAGGGGCACAGAGGCTGGAGCCAGCAAACGGCACAGATGGGCTCCCCGTGTCACAGCAAGCTGGGCACAGCTCCTCAGCTCCCACGCTGCAGCTGACAGGAGACAGCTCCGTGAGAAACAGTGCTCCAAAGCCACAAGTGGGTGAGGTGGGATGGGACGGTGGCCAGGGCCAGGAAAACGTCTCGGTAATGCACCGAGCTTCCCTGACTAGCCACAGCAGCCAGCACAGGGGGCTATCATTAACTTCGGGGCATCCCAGTGCCCAGGCAAGGCAGGAGCTGAGCTGTGTGGGTGGCACTGGGGAACCAGCCCAGCCCTTTCTGGCCAGCTGGGATCCCCCTGTGCTGACACAGCTCCCTCCCAACCAAGTGTGCCAGCAGTAAGCCAGCCACAGCTCTGCCACCCTGCAGCAAGAGGGGTCTTTGAGTCCAGCACAGCAGAGAGCTGGGGGGAATCACGCTCACAATGAGCCCCTCTCTGTTCAGCAGGCACTCAGGGGATGCACACCCCCCCAGACATTCACAAAAAGCACCCAAATCCTGCCCTCAGCCTGTGAGTTAGGCAGGAGTTAAAGGCAGGTTTGAAGTTGGCATCTGATTCTTTCCATTTTTAGGGTCAAAGGTACCGAACTGCTGCAGAAAGCCTCTGTAAATCTCACAGGGGGGAGGGCAGCAGTGGGAATGGCTCGATGCCCACTGCAGGCACTTCCAGCAGCCTTTCCCATTGCCACTGGCTCCAAAGAGGCATGCAAGAGGAGGTGGGATGTCACCCAAGGACAGCAGTTACTGCTTGCTGCTGCTGCCAGGCTCCTGGACCAGCTCTGCTGTAAGGAGGGGTCTGAAAGTGGTGGCACCACCCAGCCCAGCCCAGCCCAGGGAGGGGCTGATGCTCTCTGAACCCCGTGTGACGGGGTCTCAGCAGGCAAACACCACCTGGGTGCAGCTGGCACAGTCCCCTGTGTGGGAAGAGCAGCTCACTGTCATTGCAAACAGAGACTCCACACAGCTCCGTCCTGAGCTCCATGCCACCAAACTGCTCCATGATCTGGATGAGGAACAGACAGCACACTTAGAGGATTTCTGTAAGATGTTAAACTGGAGAGATTCCAACCACCTTGGAGTGGCTAGACTGCAGTTTTGATAAAAGAGAGAAGCTGTCCAAAATCTTCAGAATGCATTTCAACCACAGCCAGAGCTGGAAAACATGAGTAAAACTGGGGCTGGGCAGAAGTACTACAGAAAAACCTTGAGAACTGCAGAGGATCATTGTGGAGAAGCCAGCAGAATGACAGGACTCGAAACAACAGCTCGACTGCAAGAGAAACGTATTTAACTTTGACCGAGTTTCTAAAGATAACGAAATGCAAGCCCTGGATGAAAGCACCTCGGGGAGGTGAGAGGATCTCCATGATGAAGAGTTTCTAAGGAAAGGCTGGAGGAGCGGCTGCCCATCGAGCCCTGGGTACCAGAGCTCCACAGACACTTGTGTTTGCTCCTGCCCCCTCTGGCCCTGCCCTTCTGTGAGCTGCAGGTGCCCGCTCACGACCGGAGCTGTGGTCAGCACCTTCCCCAGACACAGCACCGGGGGCTGTGCGCTCTCCACACGGCCTGATCTGACTCCCAGAACAAGAAAATGGTTTTGCCTGGTGATTCCTGTGTCAGATCATTCAAAATCAGCCTTGTCAGGCTTTCTCTCCTTCCCCCCCCGTGCAGTCCCAGCAGCTGGAGGCAGCAGTGGGGCAGAGGGGCTGTGGCCAGCACTGAGCTCAGCAGGCACGGGTGGTGACCCCTGGAGGGGTCAGTGTGTGTGCCCAGAGCTCAGCCAGCCCACAGTGCCCAGCCTGGGCACAGGCAGCAGGGTGCCTGGGAGCCACAGCTGGCTCTGCCTGAGCCCAAGGGCTGGCTGGGTGTCAGCGTTGCCAGCTGTGCCACACGGGGCTGCCCAATGGCCAGAGCAACCCTGACACCCAGGGATTCCAAAGGTCACTGAACTGAGTCACCTGTGACTGATGTTTTGTGGGATTACGTAAGTGAAAGCACAGGAACGGATCTCCTGTAGAGGTGTCTGGATTTATAAATAGATTTATTGCTCCTCTTTGAAGTTCAGAACATGCAGCTTCTCACACGGTGCAGTCTCAGCTTAGGAAGCCATCCCTGCTGGCCCAAGAGCCTGTGCTGCAGTTAATTATTTGTTAACAGGTTTAAAAGCCGTGCTTCAGATGATTGACTATTTCAAATTAATGGCAAAGGTAACTGTGCCAAGGATTGCTGCTGACTGCACTTTCCCAAAGAGCCTTGCTGGCTCTTGCAGGCTCTGCCAAACTCCCAGCACAAGCCTGGTCTAGGGAACAGAAACCTAATTCCCAGTGCTGCTCTTCCCCTACAAACAATCATGCTGCAAGATCCAGCAGATGAAAGCTAAAGTCTGTAGTCCAAACCAAACCCAAATAAGGCTGAGGCCATTAACTACTGCTGCAAATTACTGAGGATGATGGAAAATTGTCTTCATACTTGAAGCACTAGATTTTTAAAACTGTCTTACTGAAAAGGCCATTAAACCAAAACCCCCCTCAGTAGCACTGACATCTATCAATCAGCTGAGTGTTCAAATGTCTGGGAGACATTCTATGGGAGATGCTCTCTCAGAGCACAAGATGAAAGGCACAGAGGCCTTGAAAGGCAGGCAATGGAACTGCCTTGCTAATTGCAATTAATAAGAACAAATGGTGATGTCAACTCCACAGACTTCACCTTTACACATATCATCAGCATGTCTGGCCCTATGGACACACCTGTCCTTTAAAGAAGATGTAGTTCTGATAATTTATCCTTTCCTATTACATCTTCCCCAAAAAGCTTTGCTGCAGCAAATGTTCATTGTGAAAACTTGTCTTCAGAGAAACTGAAACAGAGCTCCCCTGAAAGGCCACCTGAGCTTGCTGGACTGTTACAAACACCATGGAAAAGCTTTACAGCTCTCTGAAGGTGCACTCATGCCACAGGTACATTTATAGATCCTTATTCTACCAGAACTATGTATTTTACTTTACTCTGGGCAATATCACAGTGGATTACAAAAAAAATACTCTGTGGGGCCAATACTCTATCATTCAGTGCTGTCCTCAGTGCTCAGGCCCTTTTCAGCAGATAACCCTGCAACTACTGGCTGCTTTCTGACTTCAAAATGCTCAGAACCTGCCTGGCTCTGTATCTGCTGTGCTCACTCAACACACATTTAAGGTGCCATCAGCCACACAGGTCTGGATTACAGATCTGGTCCCTGTTCCTGGTAGGGCACAGGGAGGGCAATCACTTGCCCCATCCTTACTTTAACCGCCTGTTTTTGTCAGTAAGGACAGAGAATCATCCCCTCCTCGTGGTGGGGAGCACAGGGTGCCTTTGCTATCCATGGAACCAGTTGAACTGATGTCAAAACAGGAGCCAGAGAACCATCCCTGTGCAAGGTGACCCAAACCCACCAACTCCATTAAAGCCACCTTTGCTGAACAGCTACTCACACTCTGTACTTCCCACAGTCCCTTCTAAAGAGAAAGTTTTCAGTCTCAGCATTTCTCTACACTCGGAGCCCCTTCTGCAGCCCCACCTCTCACAGCAGCAGAGACCAGGGCAGCTTTCAGAGCCACTAACATGTTCCAGCTCCTGGGTGCTTTGTGTGAGCTGTGCAAGCTGACAACGATGAAGTTG